CCTGAGCCAAAGTTGGATGCTCAACGGACTGAGCCACCCAGGTGCCCCTGTCATTTCTATTTAAGGGAAATATTCTAGCAAATAGCACTTTGCTCCTTTTGGATCAACACCCATGAGTTGGTAGTTATTTTCTGCAGCTAGAGACCAGGTTTCATTCAGGCACACATTTAAGAAAACATGTAATTCTGATAACTTTATACTCACCGAGTCTAATTTCTTATGAATACTATATTTTGGGTAAAACAACTGATTTTTTTAGATAAAAATAAAAATGAGAAAAAAGTAAAATAAAAGTGAAAACTGAATATATTGTTTTTCCTGGTCGCTATTGAACCTTTGTACTTGAATTATCATTGAAAATTTCATCAGTAGTATTGACCACTCACTTGTGTTTGGAATAAAACATGCATACACAGAAAACCCATTTCAGATGGCTAGGTTAGATTTATATTTGCAAAGTACAAGGTTGCTTAGGAAATATTACTCTATGAAAATTTCATATAATGTACTGTTTATTACCAGGAGTGCATGGATTTAAATGCTAAACAATTTAAAACATTCAAAGTTTTCCATATTTCTTTTTTCAGCATGAAGTGAAGATAATTATGGGTCATAATTAATAAAATTCTATGGAACATTATCACATGAAAGTAAATGATAGTTAATTTATTATAAACAAATCCCAATTGGGGAAGGATAATGAAGCTGTAAATAAATTGACCTCACAACCAGAAATGGTTTATTCTTATATTGTTTCCAGATTCACTTTCAGTGTTTGCCATTTCTCTTGTTATCTAGGATATTTACAATATTTTGGAATATGTATTTTTTATTATGTGATCAGTTTTCTTTTATATCATTTATGTACGCTCTCTCTGGAGTAGTCTCTCAGACATACAGTTAATATTGTTTTAAGATTGTAGGGCAGTTCGGACCAGTGACAAGTCCCAGCTTGGAAGCTAAGTTTGTTTTCTTTTGCTTTCTTCATAGTTAGTTGCATGCCTGTTGTAAGGCCATTCTGGTGGAAGGTTCTTCTGCATTGTATGGCTTAGCCCTAAATTTGCCAGTGCTCATTATCATTGATCCTGTCAGGTCTCGACCCCACTCCAGATCTCTAGAGTCAGACCTGCATTTTCACAGGTGATTTATATGTCATGAAAGTTTGGGAAGTTATGCCCTCAAAGAATGGTTCCTTTCCATTTAGAGTGATCTCAAAGGGTTAGATTCCTGATATGTGTTACCTCATTGAGTCCTTACCACATCTTTACTATCATTCTATTTCTTAAGATGTAAGCATTTTTTTAAAGCCTTTATTATGGAAAATATAAAATACAATTGTAGAAATAAAACTGCAATAAATCCCCCTGTACCTTTCTCTCATCTTCAACAGTGCAGGACCTAACACGTTACATTGTTATAATGACCCAAATCCCAATTATCACATAATTTTATTCACAAATAATTCAGAAAGTGTCTCTATAACAAAAAGATTTCCGTTTTTTGACATAACCATGATACCATTATTACTAAATATATTGTAAATTTTTTTCTTAACATCCAACCACAAGGCATTGTTCATATTTCCCTGATTGTCTCATGATTGTACATTTTTTCTGTCACTTTCTTTGTCTTTGTTTGAACTGTAGGGGAGGAAAAATAATTTTTCTTCCGCCCTTCTGAATTATTGCCTGAGACTCTTATAATAAAAGATAGATTAACAAGAAAAAAAATAGACATTAACATGTATACCTCCTGTATTCATGAGAGATACCCAAGGAAAAATGAATGACCCCTCAAGGTGGCTTAGAATTCAGGCTTAAATACCATCTAAATAGGGAAAGGGGAGAAGGGATGTTGGCCACTTAGAGGGGAGTAAATGATTTTTAGGAAAGATGAATGGGCCCTTAGAAGAATAGATGGGAGACATGATACTTTGTGACAGGTTGTCACTGTACAGTGTCAACTTCTAGTCTCTTCTTCTGATAAGAGTTAATCCTTGGTTGATGAAACTCTTAGGAAGGGAATTTATGATACTTGAATTTCTTCTGGAGGATCTGTCTTTATGCAGATAAGGTGAGTTCAAAGAAAGCCTCTCTTTGCATTTGATATCTTTCAAGTGCCTACAACTCAAAATTATCAATATACCAAAGCAACACATTCTGGCGTGACATTTTCTGCTTCCCTTCAGAATCAAGATCTAAATAATATTCATCCACTAGGATTGTATGATGTCTCTTGAGACTCCCTGTCTCCTCTTCCTTTTCTTTTAATCTCTAGATTTCTAAAATATACTGTTTTTTTTTTCTTTTTAATCATCCCATTTCACAGAGGCCGAGACTGAAAGTCAGAGATGTGGCAAACTTGCCTGAGGCTTAGTAGCTAGTAAGTGACAGTACCAGAGTTGAAACCAAGCCTGTCCGTCTTTACAGATCTTTGCTTATATTATGTTGCTGCCCCTGCACTGACCCCACTTTTATTTTCACTCTCTCTATTTAGTCTTCTGCATTTCTTGCCTAATTACTCTAAAAGGTCTGCAGATCCTCATACGCTCCTTTTGAAAGCTTGCACTTTAAAATATAGACACTTGGGGACTCAGACATCCTGCAGAAGTGATATCACTCCCCTCCAACAATAAATTACAGAATGAAGGAAAAAAATATTTCTTTCTTCCTTGATTGTTTATGTGATTTAAGCTAGCAGTCTGCCAAGGATATTCACAGCTACAAAGATCAACTGCTGTCAGTGCTATCCTGGTGCCTTCTTAATCCTCCTCACTGCTCTGGGTGCATACATAGTTTCCCCCACACTGTGGGAGGACTAATATTTAAGCCTTACCTCTCGCCCCTCATTTAGGGCTTACATTGCTTAGCAATGCACAATGCATGGATGTTTTTATAGTATACAGATTTTTCTCACAGCAGAAAGATTTTTCCTAATTTTTTCTGAGCTTTTGGAATTTAATATCACTGTGTGGTTGTATTTTAGATTGGAGAATTAATTTATGTTGTGGAAGGAAAAGGTATGATCCCATTGCCTTCCAGCTTCCACCCAACGGATTCCTCAACTCCACTTGACTACAGCAGTTCTCCAGAGGAAGGTAGAGTATACGTGTGTTTTATTTCATTTAAAATGTCAAGGGATGGGACTGTTCCTCATATAGTCATCCAAGCATACTCCTAGCAAGTTTTTCCAGAAATAATTAGGTTTTAAAAGGATTCCTTTTAACTTTATTATGTCAACATCCATGAGATAGAGCACCAGTTTAACAATGAATGTCAGTGGTGATTTTTTTTAAATCCTTATTTTTTCATTCTTTGGATAAATATTGAAATTTGGCATTTGAAGTATTTACTCACCAAATTTTCAGTTTCCTGAATAGTTTGGAAATCACTGTACTCCCAAATTGTATATATTGTAATATATTACCTGAACTTGCACCCTGAATTTGTACCCTCCATTCTAAAGTGTAAGGTTGTTAGTGGAAGAAAAAGACAGTTTTTGCCAGTCTCTGACAGATGTCTTTACATTTATTTCTACTTCCCTTAGCTTCCAATCACTGATAGCACAATGATCGCTTCATGTTTGAACATGCTGGTATTTCTATGAAAGAACCTTTGAGTTCTTTTGAGCATTCTTTTTAGAGATACCAGCAAAATATCTTTGATTCCTGAAGACTTACTCTTGAATTACTGAATTAGGACTACTCAAAATGAGTTACCTGTGTTACTCTAGTTAATGAAGGTCACACCTGCAGTTTTATATTTCCAACCTTCCAAGTCCATCCTGAATAGCATGGTCAAGAGCATAAGTGATCATTGAAGCCTTACATGTTTTTGCTTCCCCTAGTGTTAAGTAAGGACAGTCCTGTTCTGTATTTGAAATGTGAGCTCCGTCAGGTCTTGGATGTGGACCTTAAGTTGCCACTGACTAATGAAGCCAAGGAGAAGGCCTTGGCTTTTGCAGCACAGCAGCAGATGTCGGATATAGAGTATGAGCGACGGTTGATCACAGGCACTCTGGAGAGCAGTAGTGTTCGCGTGGCCATCGCCCTCCTGGGGCTGACGAAGATTGAGGTGAGAATGGAGGACAGATGATGCACTTTTTTCCTCCTTTTAAAAATATACAGAGTTGTTAATCATAACATTTTGACATAGAGAAATGATGAATGCTGGTTTTCCCCAGAAGGATGGCTCGGTAGCTTTTTTTTTTTTTTTTTTTAACCACATTAAATAAATCTGAAACAAAGTGTTCTATTAATGTTAGCATGAGTGCTAATTTTAGTAGTAATAACTAGATTACTGGTGACTTCGCATACTAGTAATTTTAGGCATTGTGGTGTAATTGCTTCATTCCCAGTTGTCCTCTGTTCTGACTACACATTAGAATGCCCTGAAGATGGGGCGCCTGGGTGGCGCAGTCGGTTAAGCGTCCGACTTCAGCCAGGTCACGATCTCGCGGTCCGTGAG